CACGATCCTCGCACAGGAATCGAGAACACAAGCGCGCAAAACTCTCGAGGCGTTCTGGATTAATTCCAGAAATCCGAAAATGAACCGCAGAGAAGAATGCCTCATTATCACACGTGATATTGGGCAGTATACAAGACTGCTATTCTGATGGGAGGGGCACATTACGCTTCCATGTGAATTCTGTGCGGTTAGTCTCCACGTGACATATTTAGTGGAAGACTCATAGAATGTGGTGAGTGTGCAAAGCTGTGTTCAATGTGATTGAAATCTTGGTTTAGCGTTTTCTTTGTTCGGTTATGGAGGTGTTTGGCCGAATAGATTGCTGTCAACTTAACCTTCCCAGGCTCTGAGGAAGGCGAAATCCGCCGAAGCGTCAGCTTATTCGTGAATAAAGAATATGATTGACTATTTCATTGCAATCGTATTTTCTTAGCTCGCTGACTTTGGACTTGCTAAAGGAGGTGATACGTCGACAATGAAAACATTTTGTGGTACTCCAGCATATATGGCGCCTGAGATGATCGACTGTGACAATCTAGCCTATAATCCAAGAGTGGACATGTGAGTTAATTCATTGGTTCGTAGAAGTATTTGAACTGCTTTTTATGTCTTTACCCGCATTGTCCTTTAGGAAACAAAGGCAGTTCAGCTCATTTACAGGTGGAGCCTCGGGGTTGTGCTATTCACTGGTATCTGTGGATATCCTCCTTTTAGTGACGACTATACCGATATGGATTTAAATACCCAGATAAAGAAAGGTCGGAGATTAACGCTATGACTAGATAGTTGGAGTTCCGATGAACAGTCGAACAACTTCAGGTCGTCTTATATTTCATAATCAGTGGAAATATGTGACATTGGAAACGCAGTATGTCATCAAATCGATGCTTAAGGTTGATGTGAGTTTGAAATAGTTCATCTTCGATATTCACTAAGCTTTCCTTTTGGTTTTACGAAAAAATATCATGAGAGAAGAATTCGACACTCACATTTTGAGAACACTTTAACTGTCGCAGTACTGCTCGTTTCTCTCCACAAAGGTTTCTAGAGTTTTGGTTTTTTTATACTTATAATGTATTAATGGCGTGTATAGCGCAGTGGTCGAAGGCACCATGCCACATTCACACCAATACACATGGGATCGATCCATGCGCCCCAGGCTCACCAAGCCTTCCATTCCTCCGGGATCGGAAAATTGGTACCAGACTTATCTGGGAGAATGGTAGCACTGGCTCGATACATCAGTAGGCCATCGCGAGTCATAAAGCACAGATTTGCATCTCCAACGCATTGCATTTTCTATTTAATCACGTATTTATGCATTCACTCACTTCCAAACGATTCTTAATGAAGTCGAATACGTGGCGCATCCCTCAAGGATTCATCGCTGCTGAGAGATTTATCCTTTACTCTTTTATAGCGCAGTGGTTATATTGTAGATGTTATGCAATGCATACGTGGTCCTTGTCGACCACTCCGAGCAAACTAAGACGTTAACCATTGTTTTTCTTGATATATTCTGCGGTTCTCCTTAAAAAACATAAAGGATAAAGTTCTCAGCGTTGATCAATCCCTGAGGGATGCGGGATGCATTCGACTTCATCAACCATCGTCAGAGGCGATTGAATGGATGTTTGGCCTTTACAATGACTCTCGGTGGCTTACCGATCTATCGAGTCAGGACTGCTATCCTCCTAGACAAGTTTGATACCAATTTACCAACCCCAGAGGGATAGAAGACTCGGTGAGCCTTGGGTTTTGGGATCGATCTCGCTTTAGACCACTGTGCTACACGCTCCCTGGTTCCCCATCAGTACTGGTTTTTGTGTTCTTTGTTGTTATGAACACACCATTATCACAGTATATTTGAGATTAATTTCAGAAATAGTTCTAATTAGTTCTCAAAGTGTCGCTTATTGAGTGGAAGGCGAAATAGCACTACTTTCTTAGTGAAGAATACTGATTGAAATGGGTTTTTTAAAAGTGTACCAAGTTAATTGCTTAACACTGTTATATTAAGCCTATGTTGCGACTATCAGCTGCTGATGCGCTTAGGAAACCTTGGTTATATAACAGCATTGCTGTCGCAAGAGCTAAGGTACTAGTACAAAAGTACAAACAATCTAAGGTGAGTTTAACTGCTTCTTGTTGAATATTTGTTTTCGAATTCCACTTCTTTCTTATTCAGCTTATCATGTATAAAACTAGCGCTCTACTTTGTTACTTGACGAATTCTTCATCCACTCTCGAATAACGTTACTAGCAATAGTTTCTTAATATTCGTGTTGAGTAAACTCGACGTGTTACTTTATTCCTCATTCCGTTAATGCTGGCATTTGGGCAGTATCGCCTTGAGCTTGGAAGGCTATACTGATATGCAATCTACTAAGCCAAACGCTTCATGAACACACAGAAAAGATGAGAATCTATATTGCAGTTGCATGATCAACAACTTCTCGAAAAACCCACCGTTTTTTTTACGTGTCTTCCACTGAGGAAAAACAGATGGCAGAGAGTCGCATATGGCTAATGACTGCACCACCCCACATCACGAATCGATGCGAAGATACGGGCCGAGATCGCGTGCGACCCCTTGGCATTCCTTCTTAGCATTCATTGTAGGGTTCTTGGCGTTTATCTAAAAAGCCTCAAGAAATTCGCGCGCTGGTGTTTGGGCATCCTGTGCGAGGATATTGATTTTACTTCAAAATCGTCTCCGCTCTGGTTTCGCATCTTATGCTTTCCGAGTGGAGTACTTGATCTTGTTTCTCACTTGCCATCTAGATGTTCTTTTATGCGGATGCATCAAGGTATTCCCGTTTCGCCAATATATTCATGTCGGCGAGTAATACGAAAGATTTCTTCCAAACTTCCCTTATATTTACACTTACTTGCTATCCCGCTCATTTTCAGGAAGCCTTAGAATGTGGTCGATCAGAGACGCAATAGTTCGACTGAATACGGTAACATTTTTACTCTATTGCTGAAAATTTTCTGATGAACATCGTACTAAAGAGTTGTTGTCCGTCTTTGACTTCGGAGATCTGCATGTACATGTGCTGTTTGAACCTGCTACTGTTTTCATGGTTTATTAAGTGCGAAGTCTTCGTCTAAACATTGTTTTGCTTTGCCTTTCCACAAGCTACCTCTTAGCGTTCGATTTCCAGTTGTTCTTTTAGCGTTGTACACCTCCTAAGTAACCTTAATTGATTTAATCACTGCAAAGCATGCTTTCAATTTTCTCAAGGATCTGCTTAGTTTTGAAGGTTTCCATGTTAAGAATGTCACTTTATAGAGTTTTTGAACTATTACTGTTGAGTGTTCTTGTTATCTCTGTTTCTCATGTTGTTCGGTTTTCTCGGAGATTATCTCGTTACTGGTGTTGTATTTGCTGTTATAAATCTTCTTTTACACTACTGAACGATGTAACGATAGAGGTATTATACCTTCAGTACAAATTTTTATTTTCTCATTTAACATTTTCTTCACCACCCGCATAATGTATAATCTACTGCATTTCGAAGCTTGGCGATAGAAAATATTCCAGTGAACGAATTCAGTTTTAATTCGCCTCGCCAGTTCTTAGGATCTACTCATAATAAGGTTAAACTAGACGTACGTGAAAATTTGGTTACTTGGACTGCCCGTCTTCACTGGTTGTGCGGTCCGCAGCATAATTTCCATTTTTTTTTTGGTTTAGTTTAACTGGTTTGGCCATTTTGGTTTTCTGGAGTCCCTACGTCAGCCTGGCCAAAGTCTGGCCCAAGTCGTCACCAGTACGGGCAGTCGCAGCCTTTGTGGATCACAGGGTGATTTGCTACCATGCGACTAGTTTGATACCAGGACGGTGGTGGATCCTTTGGTTTACTCTTAGCTGGGTTTCCTGATGGAAACGCCGGATTCCCTGTCACCTTGGAAGACCTTGTCGTTGGGATGTATCACCTCGCTGTCCATCGCAGCCCGACACCCAGGAACACCTCCTGGCCACGATGAGGTGGTAAACCGTTGGGAGGTTGTGATTATATCAGACATTTTATTTAAGCTATGTTTTGGATTGCAGTGGTGGTGATCGCACTGACCACGCGGGCGACCCAACCCGTCTAGGCCCTGGTTCGATACCGCATCGGGCCAACTAAACGTCTATGCCCTGGAGATCGGCAAATTGCCCCCATTTTAGTCCGGAACAAGTTCGCTCTCTTCAGTCCATGCGGTAATGCCCTAGGACAACCATCCTAGGGTTCTAGAGAGCATCGACTTGGTCAGCTTTCAACGGCAATCGTGACCAGGACGAGAAAACCGTCAAAGCAGCACACGGGAGCACATGGGAAAAGTTCAAAAGCCTTTCTGGATGGTGATGCGAGGAAGTGAATCAAATGCAGGAAATTTTTGGATCTGCGTAGTGAAAAACATGCGATATCGGGTCATGTAATAAAGGAAAAAAGTTGAAATTAGCAAAGTAGTTTTTGTCCGATTACCTAAGGGAACATAGGCCCATCTGTCATGTCCAAAGTTATTAGTATTACCAAGGAAGTGTTATTTTTCAGTATTATTAACGAAGTTAGTTCTCCACCGGAGGTGTTTACCCTGGGGAGTGAAGTCGTTATTACTCTTTCAGGGCACTGACACGTTCACCACCATACCATACGGGACCTTCGTTTCGGCTTTCTTTCAGCCGTGTTATTGACTTATAAGTGCTGTCAGAAATTCTTAGTATTGTGAATAAACTTTATTAATTTTGGAAGTCATTTGGAGTTCTTATGGCTTTTAGAGGGATCCAACTATGAGTGTTGTAAGGAACGCTCTGAATTTTCAACGATATGGGAAGTGCAGTACAGGTTGCTCCACTGTTGGAATAATCTGATGCAGTGCTCGACGGTGCCATTCGACCAGTTCTCACATAGTTCCCATATTGTGTGTTGTGGATAGCGCTACGTTGTAACTTTATCGTGGAATAGAAGTTGTACATATCGTATATGGGACTTTTCTTTTCATGTGGGAAGATGATGGCCGTGAATAGTGGCGATCATAAGCGACGACGGATAGCTTCTGATGAAGTCGTCGAATACCACGAGCTGAAAACGTTGCAAGTAGCCAAGACTGAAGCGCCAGATGAGCAAGGTGAGGGCAAGTTAATGTTGGGGAGTGTTTATCTATGGGACAGATTTTCACATACCCTAATAATGAATAACGAAACTGCTCTAGGTCTAAAAGTGTTTAGGTTTTTTAGAACATGGCGCTGGTTCAACGTCAGATCACTTTCTCGCTCAGGTCGACCATCTACGTGGATACGACGAGGAAACTGGGGTAGGCCACCAGTGTTTTGTTTTAGTTTGCCATATATTTGCATATTTGAGTTTATTAGGATGTCTAGAATTTTGATAGACCAGTCCAGAATTTTTTAGGGTGACGACGATAGCAGTGTTGGAACTATGAATGTCGAAGATGAGGACTCTCAATATGAGATTTCTGAACTTCGAGGACTAGGTCCACTTGATAGGGTATGTGTCACCTTTTGTTCATTTCGACCACCATTCTAGGTGGGTTACTCTTTTAGACATTAGACGGAAGGTTATAACATGGTTTTATAGAGAAACAGTTTGAATAATGCATTTATAGCACGGATCATGCTGTTTGCAGTTTACTATTGGCTTTACAAGGAGTTCAAGCTAATGAAGTTTAGCAGTTTTCAGAGGCTTCAGGAGAATCGGTGTTACAACGAGGGTAATTGGTCAAGTGTGGAACTGAAAGCCCTTTATGATGGTATAACAACGTGAGTACTAACAGTACATTTCCCTGTATTCATGAGCTCACATGAGATTGTTACCAACATTTTTGTTTAATTACTATATAAGTATAAAGAAAGATGCGTGTAGACGCAATGCTCGGAGGAGCCGTGCAATACACATGGGTTCGATACCGCACTTCAGGCTCATCAGCCCTTCCGTCCCTCCAGGGACGGCATGGTACCATACCTGTATTGGAGGATAGAAATACCGGCTCGGTACATCGGTAGGCCACCGCTAATCATTGTAAAGGCCAGACATGCATTCAATCAGCTCTAACGATACTTGATGAAGTCGAATGCATGGCGCATCCCTCAGAGTTTGATCAACGCCGAGAGCTTTATCCTTTTATCCTTTATAGTCCTTTCCATGTAATTGAGTAGTTTGATTTTGTGCATAGCAACTGGCAAAGTTTTGCTGGTTTATGTGAATTATGAACAAATATTGTCGAGATACATAGCGACTTATTAGAATATCAAGTAATCTGTACATAGTTCTCGTTTGAAGTTTGAGTGAAATAGTAAAAAGTTCATTTTATGTAGCTTCTTCTCTTAATAGGATTCTTATAATTTAAAACGTTTGAGATATGGCACAACTACCAACGCCTTAGATGTAATCCAGAACAGTTATTGCACGACAAGAACATTGATCGAAGTTATGTAAGTGGTTTCCTGTACATTTTTTACCGGCAGTTTTCAACTCTGTTTTCCGAATTGCATTCATTCCTTAATTGCAGTAAAGTAAAGGCAGTAAATGAAAAGTCAACATTGTGATTTCAACTATAGTATCAGCTTGACTGGGTTCAATGCCGGTTTGGGCTCATCAAATCAGTCCCGTTGACGGGCGATTACTGACGGTAGTGATAGATAGAAAACTGGCTGAAAGACAGGCGAAACGACGGACCTGCCGGGTTGGCGGTGAACGCATTAGCACCCGGAAAGGGTGATAGCGCGTTCGATCCCTACCGCAAACACCAGCGGTGAGGAGTTTTGCAAATATCTCAGCATCGTTGTGGTTATATTTCACACAGACTCTGCCATGAAAAATTGAAATAGGAAGTAGATAGAAAAGTCATCATTCCATTTCTCAAGTTCTGATGTCATTAGTCCTCAGCAATCATTCACATCGCAGGATTTCCATTCGATTTGTTTAATGTATTTGAACCGTAAGCAGAGAAGATGATTAGGTTCGTACATGAGTTCGATCGCAGCTCATTTCTCCGTTGCCTTTTTTTCCGGAAAGTTGATCCCTTGAGACAAGAACTTTTGCAGGACAGCTACGATTCTTATTACCGACCGATTGGAGATAACTTGAAAAGTCTTATATTTTCATCATTGCATTGATCCTAATGTTGCGCTGTACTGTAACAGTAAGCGCCTTCATTTTCTTTATTAATTGAGTGAGTTACTGATTTAAGAAATATGCAATAAAGCTCTCGTTTATCGCCAATTTTGTTGAGCATGCACTAGCGGAGTCTTCAGTTGTCCTGCCATATGGCAAAGCTGCTCGCTGAATTCTATTTGCTCAAAAGATATGAAGAGCATCATGTTTTCCTTCTAGGATCTTCCAAGAAGTCTTACTGTCAGCTCGGCGTTTTCCCTTCTGCGAGTTTGACAGCCTGTTGAAGCCCGTTAATCTCTAGCGATTATTGTTAAGGTCCACCACGTTTCTGGCCTGTTTTTCTACATCTTAGCATATACAATAGGATCCCTGAACTTGCATTCCTCCTCTGCTTTCCCTTTTGTTTGACGCAGGGTGCTTCAAGCTTCGCTTTTTAGATATCGGATTCGATGACTTTAAGTTATTTGCTATTCTGCTTATAAAGCGTCCAGGTTACCATAGCGCATTTAAAGGTGGAAAATCCTTGGATCGAAAGGGCTTACATGAAATTAGCTGTTCTTTGCCCTCTACAGCGCATCTTCGGTGTTGTTTATGCTTCTCAAGTTGTTTGCTTCCTCTTTTTTCACTAATTAGGAACTTAATATCCTGACAAAAAAAATGGGTGAGCCATTCAGTTTATTGATAACTGACGGTGGGTTTTTCAAAAGTTCTAGTCTGATATGTCAGTAGTATGGATGTCATGGGACGTCGTCAACGAGATAGCTTGTGCTTTGGAATGAAGAAAATGAATGAAGTTTATTGATAACTGACGGTGGGTTTTTCAAAAGTTCTAGTCTGATATGTCAGTAGTATGGATGTCATGGGACGTCGTCAACGAGATAGCTTGTGCTTTGGAATGAAGAACGGGGAAGACAACGTATCCATCCTCTATGACTTTATAGGGAGGCTGGTGGATATATCTGACTCGGAGTTGATATCGTAGGCGGTTTTATCGAATCTTTTCCTTGATACAGTATATTGTCCGTCGAGTGGTAAAGGACGACTAGTGGTCTCTTAGTTGCTTTTCAACAATGCGGGGTTTTTTTTCAGATGTGAAGCAAAAACAGTAACTTTGTAAAGATGTGAGTAAATGTCTTTTTACTACTAAATGTCTTTTTTTAAGTAAATGTCTTTTCGAGTTTTGTTTCGTGAATCTTGCGATTTTCCGTTCTTCCTTCAAAAAGAGGATAGTCGCGTCGATAGTCAGATCCCGTGTAGAACATCAGCATGACAAGGACACTGAGTTGGCAGAATCACTGGTTGAGTACAATGTAGCCTCCTTCCTTACGTACTTTCCTGAGAGAAACTTCGTCATCCGAATGTTGGTATTGCAAATTGCTATGTATCGTGACAGTTATCTTGACGAACTTCGAGACCGTGACATGATGTTCTTCAGAAACTGTCTAGGGGCAAATATTATCATTAGGATCGTTGACGATGGAGGCATGCTTTGTCTTGGACTTCTCCAAGTCAGGTAAGTCTGTCTTAATATCATCCTTGTGACAACTTGACAACAGGTATGTAACGAATGTTGTCATATTTTACATTGATCTACATAGCCAAGTTTGTGTTGACGAGAGCATCATCTACTATTGCTCCATGGTTTTCTAAGGAAATATTATTCCTTCTCCATTATCATATCTAACGAATGACCTGTTCTCGTGTGGTCCCATTGCAGGGACCTCGTTTTTGGTCTCCTGATGTACATTATCGAGTTATGAATAGAGGCTTCCACTGCGATCATGTGCCCTCTAGTCTCAGATACCCACCATGCTCGGTCAACGATTAGGATTCGTGCTCCTTTGACACATACACAGTGAAACCGCTTTTTTCTGTTGTGAATGCGTGGTTTGTGAAATATTTGGGGGAGGGGGTTGGTAGGGAGGAAGGGAGGGAGGGGAATGTATTCAATATCCAAACTACATTTTTTTCGGACAAGTTTAGGTAAAACCAGTGTTTTGTTTTGAGAACGAAAGTGAACGAGATACGAGCAATAAATTCTGAATATGCTGAGGATCGCATCCAATCACAGAGTGATCAGTGGCTTCGTACCGGTTACAGAAATGTATGTGCTATTCCTCAGCGCGTTATTCCACCGGTAAGTGTTTTTAAAGGAAACAGACTTAAAATTAGGATAAAATTGTATAAAACGGGACTTGTGTACTTATTATGTTTCTTCTTATTTGAAGGAAATTAATAACTGGGAAGCGGCTATACATCGTGTTAATCGGCAAATACGATCACATAATGATTGTGCGATTTCTAACTCGATCAAGGTTGGCAAGAGTTTATTCTTATTTTCTTCTTTATTCCTTTTTCTCTATTAATAGCGTAGCGTTGTGGTTCGAAGCAAATATTCCAAGAAGGTTGGGCCATTCAAAATGAGTTATTCTGTGGATGATGATTATATTTCATGGCCGCTATTTCCTTAATGTTGGACGGAATTTGGCAACAAGATCGCTTTTTTTTTTCAAATGAACACCTTATTGTAAGGTTTTAAAACCAAGAATGCCATGTACGAAGGGGTACGTATACCGCAGTGGTCGGAGACACCTTGCAATACACATCGGATCGATCCTCGCGCTCTAGGCTCATCAAACTTTCCATCTTTTGTGGATCTGCAGATGCTACCAGACTTCTCTGAGAGGATAGCATCACTGACCCGATACATCGGTAGGCCACTGCGAGTTATTGTAAAGGTGAGATCTGCATTCAATCAGTTCCAGCGATGCTCAATGAAGTTAAATTCATGCGCATTCCAAGGGACTAATCAACGCCGGGAGCTTTATCCTTTATATATATATATATATATACATATATACATATATGTATACATATATATGTCTATACACTTTATGACGAATATTCGAATTTGATATGCTGATATTTCCCACTGATTCACGTCTTGGCAGAGCTCGCCTTTTGGTTTGGCGAAAGGTTACCCAATATGAAGCAAACATATTAACAGCCCCGTGGCTGCTCATCAAGAAAAAACATGAAGTGGCAGGAACTTTGTGTGCGCGGTGATATTCGTATTATTCTCGTTCTATTGATGTGACTGAAGTATTAGAACCTTCCCACATATTTGCCACGTGGCTTCTAAGTCGCTGCTTCTATTTATTGGAGGGAGATTTCGACAGAGTTTGGTACCAATTTGCAGACCCGGAATTGTGAGGTTTGCGAGAAGTCATTCTCTCTTTCATCGTATTCTGTCTCCAACGGAAGGTTGAATTAGAAATGTCGTTCTCAATTAATCGTATGAAGGTTTAAAAGATTAAATCTTGTTATCTAAATGTCATGTGTTCTTAAACAAGTGAACTTGTGATTTTCGGTTACGGACTCTGTGTTGCTCCTTATTTGAAAAGTAAGCATAAATACTGTGTGATTTTCTTCTTTATTGGACCCGGTCGTAATAGCGATTTCGTGAAAGTCCTGACATGATGATAAACAGACGTCTACGAAGACTTGAAACCTGACATTTAAGTGAGTGAGATTTGGTTTCAGAATGCACTTCTTGATGCACCGATGGATGCAGAAAATCCAACTCTATATAAGGTTCGTTGGCTATTGTTGTTTAAGCGTTATTATTTCGATGGATTTTTGGGGAAAGTTTTGGTTTCGTGCTAGTAGTAGTTTCTATCCAGGAATTCAGTCCTACTAACCGAATCCATCGTACTGTTCTTTTCCTGGAAATATGTTCTTGTCCTATGATGTTTTACTTATTATTAAGAATTCGATGAATAATAAGTTATTGTGTTCTTGGTGAGCTAGAGCAAATTTGTTAAGGAAACGTTTATTTCGCAGAAATTAGCGTTACATTCATCCATGAAAGATCGTGAAAATAGTCATACTCTATTGAATCAACAAGTATTCCGATAAACTAAGTGGAAGAAAACTTATTCTAAACGTCGGTCACGTGATAAATATTACAGCCTTACAAACATTCAAAGTGTTAGTTGTTCACTTTTTGGGGAAAGGAGAGCATATGCACAGAATTCAAATATCATTAATGAACGTGACCGTCTCAGCTCACTGAGTGGTTAGTCTATATATTTTGGATTCTATCAATCTTTATTGTTCAGGTGACGCACTTCCGCGGAGCTGAGGGTTATGGTAAAGAGCAGGCGGTCAGTTGGCAACGTCTCAGCGAGTTCTTCGTTGGAGTAATTAAACATTCACGTCCACTTCCGCCACTGAATCCACTCGGTAAGTGACATTTGTAAGTGACTCCTACAGGTAATACTTATTATAACTGCTTACGCCTCTAATATAGATTGGTGGAAATTTCGATAGCAGTCGTCGTCCATGGTGTTTGCCTGGTTCGACGTTCGTTCTTTATGGTGGATAGCGGTAGATTATTGTCGTATAGATCCCGACTGCACTTCAGCATAGATAGTTTCTGAGCTCCTTTCAACAACTTGTTCTGCCTTTATCGTTGGCGATCCTCCTTCAACGATCTTCTACAGCTAGTATTCATTATCAGCCGTGGTACATGTGTTACAATAGAATCAAACTTCAATTTTCTTCTGTTTTCGAGCAACTCCTTAGTAGTGATGGAAATACAGTCTGAACTTCCTAATTGAGGGAGCGACCCAGTTCGGCACATGTTTTAAGCTTTTCTACAAGCAGCTTTTATTTCTCGGTTGGGTTTTCCTTTATCTGCCCGTCATATGAGGAGAGGATTTCATTGCGATTATTTTACGTTGCCAATTACTTCCTCAAACTGCTTGTGGAACGTGTCCAGCTCGTTCTCATTATTTGTACAAGTTGGTGAGTGGCACTTCATGACACTAACTTTCTTTTGACTTGTTGGATGGAGGCGGAGAATGGTCAAACGAAGTGATAGGATCTTCTATAAGATAACCTGATAAGAAACATATATATAAGACAATACCAACGCACCCGATATTTCTTAACGGAAATTCCCCACCACGAATGACAAGGGTCCTGTCATCTTATTGCCATATGTCGGTCTCGTCGCTTTTTGTCATCTAGGGCACTCACATGAAAATTGGTCTCTCAAGTGATCTTAAGAAAAGCGTGAAGATCGTCTTCTGGAGACTGCTTTGGTGTTATAAACGCGCAGCGAAAAGCAGTCTTCATATACCGTGCCGTGACATGCTGGTGTAGTGTAGTTCCATTGACGGTGCTATCCAATGTTTGTTCACATCTGACGGGTTCGTCGTGAACGAGAGCGCCCAGTATGCGCGATACTTTGCTGCTCGAACCATGTGTTGTCCGGGAGCCCCGTGATCAGGCTCGCTGAAGCTTTCCTCAGGTCGTCACCACAGGCAACCAATTGTTGTGAATCAGAGAGAGATTTGACGCCTTGTAATTAATTTGATACCAAAACGGCGGTGGCCCCTTGAATTAGTTTGTTCTTAGATGGGTTTCCGAATAGAAAGGTCGAACTGCACAGCTCAGAAGACCCTGCTGGTGATAATCCCTTCGCTGTACATCGCTACTTGAAACCAAGGAACATCTGATAGCCACAGTGATGTGGTTAACCATTTGGAATGGAGAGTTTATTTTTATAGATAAAGACTGTAATGCGCTTATACCGGGCGACACATGACACGACATCTGTGGTGGTATGGTAATGATAGAACTGGAAAAAAAACGGAAAGGCGTGCGGCGAAAGAAACACCGGGCTACTTTACACCAATTTTTGCATTGAAATTAGTTCATATCTTCCAGTTTATGGAATGAACATGAGAAATCGAACAAATAAAAATTCGAAACGGTGGTTAGATGTAGAAATGACATGTTGAAAAGTTAGGAGAAAACGTAGTGGAAACTCTGGTTTCGTTTGTAGGAATTCATCCGCATTCCTGTTTTGTGACCTCAGCGCCGAATCGAAGTGATTTACTGGTACCCTGGTTTCTATTTGTCACTTTAATAGGGAGCTGAATTTAACCGAGTTTTAGAATGTGCTATCGCATTGCGAATGGTCGACGAAGTCGAAGATGAATCAGCTCGTTTGTTAACTGATAACGAGAAAGCGATAATTCGTGGATGGTTGGCGAACATCCAGATGCGTGATCTGCGCGATTTCCTCCCGGATTTACCATATTCTGTGAATAGTGCAGCTCGAGTAAGGAGTTGTTACCAATCGGACTCTGTAGTCCTAGGTTATTGAGTGTGCAGATTAAACTCGACTTTTACAGATGCTTGTTGATCCTCTCCGCACTAACTCTTGGGGATTTACTGACTCTCTCAGACCTCCTGGAAGCATTCCTGTGGATTCAACAAGTTCAGGCAACGTTGAAGCACAACGAACTTAAAGCATTACACCACATTCGCCAACAGCATAATTGTATGGTCTTCTTAAAACGGTTCAAATGTACGCAGACGGCTTATGTTACCATACCTCACGCTGCCATATTTTTGGTGAACAGATTGAGCATTGTTGTACTTTCTACGGATTTGTGCTGCTACGTCGAAAAATTATCTTCCAACCCTTGCTATATGAAGTTTATATTGTTGAAATTGTTAGAAATAGTTATTCTATTAAGATGTGTACGACAATATATCATTAAGATCCACAATAGCAGCTTTGATGAAAGTCATTAAAGTGAATATGTATGGCGTAGTATGAAAATCACTTCCTAAGAAAGATTTCATGTTCGGAAGGGTAAGGGAAGGAGTGGGTATCGCAGTGCTAGTATGTCGTTAATCTCGAGCACACTTCTAGTTCGAATCACAAACCTCCTCATTCCTGCGGTCTCGTCAAATTGGTACCAGATTTGTCTGGGAACATATTTATTTATGTGATCTTATAAACTGATCTTCTTAAGCTGACGCGAGGTTGGTACAGATCTTCGTTGTCGTTGTCGTAGTCGTTGTTTTTGATGTTATTGATCGATGGCTGACGTTTCGGCGACTTCGCCTTCCTCAGAGCCTGGACGTACTTTATGTTAGAATACTTTTTTTATTATTCGGTGGAAAAGAAGGTTAAAGTATTAATGAAGATCAAACTTTCAAATAGGCGCCATATTGAACAGAAAGGCCACTCACCGTGATGTTACGTGCGGGACTGGCCCACAGGTACTTCACGTGGGGTCGCGAGCAAGACACGCCCCGGGGTCAAAATATCATTTTGAAATAGGGCGCCAGGTCACGCGTGATAGTGAGGCATTCGTCCTTCCGGTTCATCTTTTTTGAACATCAAAAACAACGACAACGAAAACCTGCACCAACCTCGTGTCAGCTTAAGAAGATCAGTTTATAAGATCACATAAATAAATATATCAACTATTTATGCCGAGGTTCATAGAAAGTCGGTCTTTCGAGTGTCTGGGAACAGTTCACTTCCTGCAATCCAGCTAGGTGCGCTCTAGCCCTGCTATCACCGGTCAGCACGGAAAATCGACTAGAATAGTATTCAGTGGTATTTGTGAAGAAGACGGCAATCCTGGGACAGGAGCCGAAAAGCTCAAAGGCCTTCGTGAACGGTGGATGCGAGGAATGGAAGAGGTGCTTGTATTTGCAAAGTGGATATGAGAACGGGTCGTGTAAAATGTTGTTGAGAAAATATTTGTTAGAGATAAAGTGAGATAAGACGAACAGGTGGTAGAAGCAGTCGACCAGAAAGGAGGATAAGAAAATACGAAGAGAAATGCGTAGTAAAGAGTTAGAAAGTGTATATGGAACCATGGGGAAGGGAAAACAAGGACGTGCAGGATTTGAATTAAGTGGTAGGAATAGTACGGATATTAGAATTGTAGTGATAGTTGTAAGGGTATAGAAGTAATCAAACAATAAGGATATTATCTCGTTCGACTCAATGTTTTCGTTTAACACTTCCTCATTACCGAGTTCCTTTGTGCCTGTCTTCTTTTGATGGGCAGAACATTGTCTTCGATTCTCTCCAGTTGTCCCCTCTTATCGGCTGCATATCCATAGCTTTTGGCACGGGGATTAAACCTTTTTTCACTCCAAACATTTATTCATTCGCATTTCTTCCTACAACTTCTTCAATTAGCAGCTTCACAACAGTCCGCAAAGAATCGAACCTTCTTGAACAAAACTATTGTAACTATTCTTTAAATAGTTCCTATTTCTATGTTACCTTACGTCTTCTACAATAACTCTTTTACTTGTAATCGTTTCGTGTAATCGTTACATCTTTGCTTCGTCGCTGAATTGTTTTTCTTCGTATTTTTGTTGAGCAATCCATCTCGCGGTCATCCATCTCTACAATCCTCAAATCCACCCCTCGGAGTCATTTATTGAAGCGATAGCCGTCGTGTTCCGAAGTCACTATCGTGGTGGCCGTGGAGGAGAGTCTCTTAGCTATTCTGTAGTTCTGTAGAAGATCGTTGAAGGAGGATCGCCAACGATAAAGGCAGAACAAGTTGTTGAAAGGAGCTCAGAAACTATCTATGCTGAAGTGCAGTCGGGATCTATACGACAATAATCTACCGCTATGCACCATAAAGAACGAACGTCGAACCAGGCAAACATGGACGGCGACTGCTACCGAAATTTCCACCAATCTATATTAGAGGCGTAAGCAGTTATAATAAGTATTACCTGTAGGAGTCACATCTCAAAAATGAAAGGTAGCTGTACTACCAAAAGCAAATACTAAGAGGGTTAGTCGAATACAGCTCAAAATTCTGATGAATCAGCAGTTTTGTCGTTACGATTCCCTGCCGAATTTTGCAACACGTCAACTGGTCGGCCTTGCTCCGTCTTCTCTCTCGCTCCCTCTTTTCTCCTTCAGCGACACCTGCTTCTTTTTCTTTTTCATTTTTCGCATACTGGCTAATTTAGTCACCTGTTGATCGCGGATTCTCAGCGATCGTCGGCGGCTAGGAGCTCCATCCTCTTTTCCTTCCTTCCCATGCGCCCGAATGTCCGAATCATGTGACATCAACTCATCGACCCGGGTACGTCTTCTTCCTCGCTCTCTCTTCCCTGATTCAACGACACCTTCCTTCCTTTCTTTTTCATTTTTCGCAGTATTGGCTAATTTAGCCAATTGTTGATCGCGAATTCCCAACGATAATCGCCGGCCAGGGTCTCCATCCTCTATTTCTTCCTTCTTATTCGTCTGAATGTCCGATTCACGTGACGTCAACTCATCGGCTCGAGTATGCATTCTTCCTCGCTCCCTCTTCTCTGCTTCAACAGCGCTTTCCTTCTTTTCTTCTTCATTTTCCGTAATATTGGCTAATTGGCTAATTTACCCAATTGGTGATCGCGAATTCTCAGCGATCGTTGCCGGCTAGAGCTTGTATACGGTCTTCCATCCTCATCCGCCTCCAGGTCGTCCAAATGACGAAACGTCATTTAGTCGGCTGGGCGGTTTTTTTCCTCGTTTCTTCTTGCTTTCATCACCGTTATCTTCTTTCTTATCACTTTAATTTCTCAAATTATTAGATAATTTTGCCAATGACTGGTCGCGAAGCCTTTGCGATTGTCGCCGCAAAAAATCGTGATCCTCCTTTCCTTTCTACTTTGGCTTCTTCCTTTCCTTTCTCCTTCCATCTCCTTTGGCTCGGTGGGAAACTCGAAAGAATCCAAGGCTACCCGATGTTCTGCCTAGGAGATGAATTAAGTGGTAGAACTGGAACACGTACTCGACATGACAGTGAGAGTTGTAGGAGTATGGAAGTAATCAGACAGTAAAAATATTATCTTAACCATTTTATTTACTGCCTATTCTTTTTTAACGGCAGAGTATTTAGCGAAATATAACTATTATAATGCTGAGATATTTGCAAAACTCCGGACCGCAGGTGCTTGCGGTGGGGAACAGGCGAAACGAAGGACCCGCATGGTGTGGTGGTGAACGCGTTACTCCCCGGAAAGGACAATAGCGCGTTCGTTCCCCACCGCAAGCACCTGCGGTTCGGAGTTTTGGAGCGAATATCTCAGCATTATAATAGTAAGAATATTATCTCCTCTGGCTTAACTATTTCGTTTAACACTTCTTCATTGCTAAGCTACTTTGTGCTGATCTTCTTTTGATGGGCGGATCGAGATTGGTTTCTTTCTAGTTGTTCTTTCTCGCCAGCTGCATTTCCACAGCTTTTGATACGGGGATTAAACCATCGAGCCAAGGGAGATGAAAGTCTACGAGAATCAATATTCTTTGCGACGACGATCGTAGAGGCCTCGCGATCACTCATTGGCAAAATTATCTAATAATTACGCATAGGATAAAATCGTGGATATTATATCCCTAGCGGGATTGATAGGTGTGGCTGGATATGAGAATTGTTGAAACCCTTGAAAGTGTCGAGAAATATGGCCGAACTGACTGCGAGAACTGGAAAAGCATCCTTGGTATAATTTCTGTTACAATCGTATCATGGGTTCGATGGTTCTTCTATTAATTCTTATTTAAAGCGATTTCCCCTTTGTTATTAGATTCATCTGGAAGGGAAATCTGTAGGGAGATGGTTTTATGAGCGGGGATTTTCTTCAGGCTTATAATCATTCTGCGTTACTCTTGTTGGCGATAATTTTTTTACACATAAAACCCCTTGTAGGGAAGTTTTGTTACTCCAAATTCGTATGGTTACACGTGAAATGTCATAATCATCTGGATGGGTTTTAAATCCCTATTTGACTATTCAGTTATTGTCTTACGTAGAAATCACATCGTGTAGAGGACCCATGAACCAGTTATTGTCGTGACGATAACATCAACGAATTACAACGCGTTACAACGTTTATACATGTATACATATATATACAGCACTAATAGGCTAACGTATAGGACTTGTTTTCGCGTAAAGTCTGCATTGCTACATATCTACTGCTTATATACTTGTTATGAATGGTATACAACTAACTAGATGTTTTCTAGACATTAAGGGGTAGTGAGTGGTTTGTTTGAAGTATGACGAGCGCTTAGTGGAAGGTTCGAAAGGGAATGGTGACGTCGTACCAAATGAGAGAATTGAAAAAGATGAAAGAATAAGTCGGTACAGATAGGCGGCTTCCTAAAGAACATAGGCTTGGGAATTTATTAGACGGTCTCAATAAATTGAAGTCGAAAAGGATCAATTTGAATTCTAAATGACAAACTATGAAGGGCACGAATGTTAATTTACTCTTACTTGTTTAGTTATCGCGTTATATCCATCTCGTTTATGGTTAACATTTCTTAAAGACCGCTAGATGATTTTCTGTTGTGTTGCTTTTACGTAGACCACCACTACTCAACTAGTGATCCCGCCAGTATCAATAGTTATCATCGGCAATCGAGTTTCTTGTGACTATTCATGATTCGCGGGCGTTCTGCAGAGTGAAGCCGGTTCGATGATCGGTCAGTAACGCGATTGATGATGTTCATCATCCCAATCATCCCCGTTGTCAAAAACAACCATCGATTCACCAGCATTAGTTGAAAATCTAATCAACTTTAGTTACAAATAACAGGTTAGTCTAAATACGCTAGAGTGTCACCAAATCAATGGAGTCTAAACGTGGTCATCTCCGAAACGTTGAATGACTGAAGAGTGACAGTCCTTCTGTTGGTCACAGTTGTCTTGCTTCGTATTCAGGTTCCGAAGTAGATTTAACGAAGAAAAACTGTAAAACTGTTTGTGTAGTAAAACAGAATTTGCCGAATGGCTCCAATTCATTTTCAATAGACGTTCTTTTTCCTTTTTCAAAATAAAAAGAAAACGGTCGTAGAATCGGTAGATCCTTCATTTCCAAACGAGTAGGAAGGGCGCGTGTGGGGCAGTGGTCGGAGACGCCTCACAACACACATGGGATTGATCTCCGCACCGCAGGCTCACCAAGCCTTCTATCCCTTCAGAGTTGGCAAAATGGTACCAGAGTTGTCTGGGAGGATAGCAGCACTGGCTCCGTACGTCGATAGGCCACCGCGATTCATTGTAAAGGCCAGATGGTCATTCAATCACCTCCAAGCGATGGTTACTGAAGAGGGTTGCATAGCATATCCCTCAGGGATTGACCAACGCCGAGAGTTTTATACTTTTTATACGAGTAGGAAATTACAACCACCTGCAACTATGAAATTTCTACAAAAACTTATAAAGAAGTATATTTCTAGCGATTATCTTGTAGAGAGAGGCCAGAATTCATGACGTGAAAGTGAAAGCATACAATAATAAGCTTTAAATTTGACATAGAGGCAAGCGGCTTCCAGAAGTCAGATCACATGCAATGAATGGAACTCGACTCACTGCATAACATCATGCTTGATCACAATAAAATCCTATGATTGGAAACATCGTTATATGAAGCTACTGTGCATCTATGGTCTAACATAAACGGATTTCCCGCGTAAACGGACCAGTTTAACATTGGTTGTAATACAGAAAAAATGGCACACAAGATGAGCAAGCTTAACCATAAAGGCTAAAGTTGGAGATCTAATTGATAACCCTACGAGCTCGTGTTCGCGGCTCGTCAATTGTTTCTTCGATCACTTGGTCGAGAATCACCTGAAAAATTCTTGTGCTTCCACACTATTTATCATTGCTTGGTGTAACAAAAATAGCTAAACCAGCAACGAATATCTTGGATACTTGCGATGTAGTAAATTAACCTACCTGAATACCCATCCAGGTTTCTTCGCTGATTGGTATCAGCCAACGTGGTTTGATTTGAAAGGCGAACCATGCTGTAGAAAAAGTTGTCAAATGCTTAAGACCGTGATATTGGAATCAAAATGAAAATATATAGCGGTGTAGGAGATGAATACCTTTAAAAAAATGACCGCTAATGAACGAGCAGAGACTTCAGATCGAATTCCAACCGTCTGCTACCACAAATACATTGTCATCAATTTTTACTTATTGCCGACTTATTAATGGCAGGGTATTGTGTGAAATATAACCATAATGCTGCTGAGATATTTGCAAAACTCTGGAACACTGCTATCTGCAGTGGGGACTGAACAGAGTATTACCCCTTCGCAGGGTTAATGCGTTCACCACCACACCATGATAGTCTTTCGTTTCGCCTGTCTATCCCGTCGGTGGGTGATTGCTGACAGCGCCTATAGGTCAACAATACGGTTGAGAGACAAGCGAAGCGAAGGACTCGCGTAGTATGGCGTTGAACCCGTTAGCACTCGGAAAGGGTAGCAACGTGTTCACTCTCCAACGCAGACACCAGCGGTCCGGAGTATTGCAAATATCTCAGGAACATCATGGTAATACATAAATTGTCAACCTGAAGATTACGCTTAGGATTAAATGGTTGAGAGTTCGTATTCGCCTGTAGTCATCGGCAATGTGAAGTCCACGTTACGAAGATACATTCAGATAATAGAATCAAGGGAGTCAAGGGTTTCATGAAGAAGTCATAAGCAAGCAAATATCTTGATACGTGATACTTGAACGGCCTGTCCTCACTAGTTGTGCGGGGCCCAGCATAATCACCATTTTTCGGAGATTTGCTGGTTAAGCCATTGTGGTTCCCTGGAATCCCGAGGATTGCCTGGCTAAAGTCTGTCCCAGGTCGTCACCACGACGGGCAGTCGCAGCCCTTGTGTATCACAGGGAGATTTGCCACCATGCGACTTTCATACCAGGACGGTGGTGGATCCTGACATTGGTTTACTCTTAGCTAGGCTTCCTGATGGAAACGCCGGACCCCTTTTCAGCATGGGAGACCCTGCCAGGAGCACGAATCTCCCCGCTGTGCGTCGCAGTACGACACCCAGGAACACTTCCCAGCCACGATGAGGCGGGAAACCGTTGAAAGGAAGCAAATATCAGTTGTTTTAAATAGGCTATTATAGCTTTGATTCGTCCTTATAATTAACATGATCCATACTTTAAAGAAAAAACAGCATAAAAGCTTTTCAACCCAGGTGAAGCGATTTGATAACTGAGAAGTTACGAATGAATTGAGAACTAAGGAGCTTACTGGACATGTCTGGTGGCAGCTCCAGAACATAGACATACTTCGTTGGAGTATTTTTCTTAATCCAATCGGTTGCACCCCCAGTTGCTGCGCCTATAAAGCAACACGATGTAGTATCTAAGGAGCAATCTAGTGAAAGGCATGGATACTGCACAATAGGTTGCACACAGTAAGTGAAGTAGTTGAAGATAGTTGAAGAATTGACATTACTTAACGGTTAGCGAATCTGTTTAACATTCTTAGGATTACCAAATAGGATTTTGCAAGCCTCAGCAAACTTGAATAGTGGTTGATGACAGTTTTTGCTCTGGCACCTTGCTCCACACAACTCATAAACTTTCTATTCTGTCTGCATTCGATTTACCTAGCATATCAGCAGCTGTGCCAATTCTGTACTTCGTTTCTCGATATGTATAAACTTTGTCGGCAGCTTTCTTCGCTAGGCGCTCCTAAAAGAATGGTGACAATCAATGTTTATACTTGTAAAGTAGGACTGTTCATCGATATTTAACTCTGTGGCAACCACGCCTAATTTTTGACTATTACGGCGTTTCCGGTTTTTTTTTATAATAAACAGTAGTTTTTTGGATAATTAAAAGGTAAGATGATGTGAAAAAGACAGAATGTTAGAAGAGATTTTGCCCTATCGCTCGGTGAGTATGAATAGCATGGGCGCTGCTCACTTCTGTATGCTACCACGATCCACCGCATAAACACATTATTTTTAGCATTTGGAAGTATTTTACAACCGACCTGGTACTTATTTCAGTATTTTCTATAGCTGCAGCCTTTATGCGGTAGCAAGCACTTGTTGTAGCATTTAACATTAAAATAATGACCGATTACTAGCTAAAGCTCCGCTCAAGTGAACTCGCTCCAAAGACCGATTTTTCCAAGACGTGTTTACAGGCGCAGAATAGCGCGTTTCTCAAACAACGCCGAACAGGACATCTGTGCTTCAAAGAGTATCAAGCGGCTACAAAAATGTGGTGCTGTGAAAGAACTTAGCAAAATGAAGAGAAATTGAGGCCTACGGACGCGAAAGATGTAAGGGAGTGCTTGAGAACCAATGAACATTATTCAGAAAATGGGGCAAAGTTCGCACATAATGTGAAACTACACGTGCTGCTTTTGAAAACATATTTTATGTAACCTGGTGTTGAATTTTATACGCTTTCCAGCACTTCATCTTTGAATTCGTTCCTCCGCATCCATTACTTGAGAAAGTCTTTCTGCGCATAGGTTTGGCTGCTGCTCGAGGAATTTCGTACTTCTATGAAAATGAATGCCGATAGAGTCGATTTTCTCTGGAAAACTGGGATAGCCGTGCTAAGACATGTCGAAGTGAATTTGGAGGGTGATGGCTGATTTCGTGCAAGTCTGGTAGCAATTTCGCAACTTCGGGTAGATGGGGAGTAGGCTTGATTGGTCTGGTTGGGTTGAACCAGTACCTTGCAAGATTTGAACGGCATCACTACTACTGTGCTACCTGCTCTGAGTAGTGATTAATTTTCGTAAAAATACGGACGTGGACTATACTAGTTGATTAAAGCTAAAAGTTCCAAGGCTAAATTCTGGATACCATATTATGGTAGTTAAAGAGATGAAAATCTATAAAATTGTGCGTAGAAGGCTTCTAGGCTCTTTATGCTTGCTAGCAACAAAGAAGAAGTACAGCAAAAGATATCCTATAAATAGTTCAATTTCGATAATATATTGTGCTTGAACCAAAGAACTATTGCAAGAAAATACCAGCTCTCTAAAGTCTTCCGGATACGTGCGCTTGTGGTAGTTGTATGGAAGAATCCACAGCTGGCCATGGGTGTGCATGGAAACGAGAGCATGTAGACGTCCGTAGATTTCTCTTGACAACACAAAATCACGAACGGCTCTAAGAGAATGGTAATGCACGGGAGTGCAATCAGCTGTAATCGAAAGCAAAAATTTGTATCTTATGAGTAGACAAGAGAATACTATTGCTGGAAGCACGTAAGTACTTCGTTGATGAATGGGGTTGCCAAAATCCATCCTTCGTCCTCTTTATAACGTTATTTCTCACACATAAAATCTATGCACGTTTTGTTGACTTTTTTAAAATTTACTTCCTACTACATTTTTTCACGGCAAGCCATTATGTGTGATACAACCGCAATGATGCTGAGATGCATGCAAAACTCCGGATCGCAAGTGTCTGCAATAGGAAACGAACGCGTTATTACCCTCTCCGGAGGCTAACGGGTTCACCACCACACCGTACGGGTCACTCGTTTCGCCTGTCTTTCAGCTAGCTCTATCGATCAGTGCCATCAGCAGTCACGCGCCAACGGCTAACAGCGCGTTCGTTCCCCATTGCAGACACTTGCGGTCCGGAGTTTTGCATGCATCTAAGCATCATTGTGGTTGTATCTATGCACAACGTTCTTCCTTTTAGTCCTTTGTGCTTATTAGTAGTAACTTAGTAAAGTTAAAGTATACGATAATTCAAGAGGCTTAGCTACAAAACGTGATTATAATTGCCATCTTAAAGGAGACACTTTTGCTAAAGCTTATCTGACCTCGGCGATTAGGGAAGTACTTGTTGGAGGAAACTCACTATAAACCACTAGTCAAATTAACAACGCGACAAAACGTTCTGGTACAGATGAGGCTTCACTATAACTCTGTATTCCGAAGGGCAACCGCTTCCATTTATGTTTGTGACTCTCACAGACATATGACTAACTGTTCACCTCCAATTACGACCAATCAAAAAATCTTCCGTGAAGATGGAGGAAAAGTCTAGTTCAGACTAATGAGACACTAAATCTGCAAGTATCGAAACCTTCCCAGCAACAGGCTGGGAATAAATAGTGGTATTAATAATGGTAGTAATAACGTTAGTAATGATAATAATAATTCTAACCTTGTTTCTGGCTCACTGAACGGATAGGGACCTTGAAACTCGTCTGAGCATGGATTGTTGAACGGATAATTGTCATTGGAGAATCTAAACCGGAGAAATCTTATATAATTTGCACGGATATCTAATTGATATAATAAGTAGAGAGGCGTTTTATAATCACAGTGGTTAGACGCGCCTGCAACACACAGAGGATCGATCTCACCCACCATGCTCACCAAGCCACCCATCGTTCCGGGGTCTGCAAGTTGGTGCCAGACAGGTCTGGGAAGATAGCAGCACTGACTCGATACAACTGTAGGCCACGACGAGTCATTGTATAGATCATATAAGGATTCATTAACCTCTAAGGGTACTTAATATAGCCGAATGCATATCGTATCCCTCAGGGATTGATATACGGCGAGACCTTTATCCTTCATTTTTTATTTATGACATGTAGAAACCACTATCAAAGGTTTGTCGCCTCATCGTGGCTAGGAGGTGTTTCTGGGCGTCGAGCTGCGATGTAGAGCGCCTTCATCCTTCCAGCAGGGTGAGCCATGCCAGCAAGGAGTGCGTTGCTTCCATCACGAAGCGCAGCTAGGAATAAATTAATACCGGGATCTACCACCTTCCGGGTACCAAACCAGTCGCATGGTAGCAAATCTCGCTCTGATCCACAAGGACGGCAACTGCCTGAGGCAGTGACGCTTCGGCTAAGCTGATCCTGAGACTCCAAGAAACCACGATGGCTAAACCTGCAAATCTCTGGAGAATGGAAATTATGCTCAGGAGCGCACGGCTAGTGAAGACGGGTCATCCAAATATCCAAGTAAGTAAGATAACTAGACAACAGAAAATCTGTGCCGACACCTACAGTCCATGCCATTTTTTCGACAATTGTCGATAATTTATTGAACATGCAGAGGTCTTGGGGCTGAGAACATGATGGCACATAAAAGAAAAAGATTTGCACTACCGCTTAAGGAATGGAAAAGGCTTTTTCAAAATTCTCCATCAGTTTTAAATTTACCAACAAGTCAACTTTCTAAAAGATTAACAGAAGATACACGCAGACATAACGGAGAAGACCAGTCGAAAGCTTTAGCATGGAAGGCTCTAGAAGCATTTTGGGTAAATTGCAAGAATCCAAAAATGAACCACATGGCGGAATGTCCTGATATCATAAAGTATCTCAGACTACTATTTTAATGAAGGAGGGACGCAGTATTCATGCATGTAAACGTGGCGCGATTGGTCTCCACCGGGATTGCTCAGTGGAAGACTTATGGAAAGTGGTGAATGTGCGAAGAAGCTATTTTGTTATGCATGCGGTTAAAATCTGTTTCATGTTTTTTCTGTTGGCTACGGAGGTATTTGGCCGACTAGATTGCAGTCAATCTAAACCTTTGCAATCTGTGAAGGCCACATTCGAAGAAACGTCATCTGATTTTGTGAACAAATAGTACAGTAGCAGTCTCGTGTGTGCCTGTCAAACAGCCAGTTAACGAAAGAATTTTTGAAGTATTATTGCAAGCACAGCAGTTGGAAACATTGGCATTACATTCTAGAGCACTGCCGTTTCTGCTGTGTGGGATACGCTCGCTCAATCGCTTTGCTCTTAAACAGATACGATTCTTTATTTTTTATTTTATTTCATTTCATTTGACCCGTCTTTACGTCTACTGTGCGGATCCCAGTATTTTTCACATTCAATCCGTTTCCTCGCATCCATTGTCCACGAAGATCTTCCAACTTTACGTGTGGCTTCGGTTGCCGCTTGAGGATTTTCGTTTCATTTTGAATGTCGTAGAATGCTGGTCGAGCAATTCTCCCTGGAGTCCTGAGACAACCGGGCTGGAGCGTCCCCAAATGGATTACGCAGAGTTGTTTTTCTCAGATAAGTCCGGTACCAATTTCCCGACCCCGGAGGGATGAGAGGCTTGGTTGACCCTGAGCGGAATGGAGCTAGCACCGTGATCGCGACGACCGGCATCACTACCACTGTGCTATCCGCCCTTTGATGCAATCTTAGACTAAACAAAAGCGGGAAATCACATTCTCTGCACTCTGGAAAATTGGTATTACGTTTCTGTAGAAAATAAACCTGTGTTCATTACTGGGAAAGATCCGTACATATCACATTTAAACTAATTAACTTCCCTATTGGGTGATATACACTTGTTTGAATTGAAAGAATAGTTTCTACTAGGCAGTGCATGAGCCATATATAACTCATTCAGGCACTGCATCAGCATATCTTAAGTAGTGAAAACAAACCCCAAAAACAATACAGAAGAAGCAATAGGCCTAAATAACAGAATCTTGCCTTTTAGATTAAGCAGTGTACTGAAGTTGCTAGCATCTAGAATTTTTTGTGTACGTCCTAGATAGATCAATTTAAAGAAGGTAAATATGGTAATCTTCGCTGTTTAGAACGTAGCATAATATTAATTTTGCATAGGTAATGGATTCCAAATGTTATTATGGGGAAAAAATTCAGAAAATATGAGGAAGTAAAGTGGATCACTAACTAGTTCCATTATTGATTGAGAACCTCTATGTCTTACACGGAAGGAGTGAAAATGTATTGAGCTAAAAAAGCTCTCGGCGTTGATCAATCCTTGAGGGATGCGCAATGCATTTGACTTCATTGAGCATTGTTTGAAGGTGATTGGATGCATATCTTGCCTTTACAATAACTTGCAGTGGCCTGCCGATGTATCGAGCCAGTGCTGCTATCCTCTCATACAAGTCCGCTACCAATTTGCCAACCCTGGAGAGATGGACGGCTTGGTGGGCCATGGACGAGGGGATTGATCCTATCTGTGTATTGCGGGGCGCCTCCTATCAGTGCGCCCACGTGCCTGTGAATATATATAACGGGAGAAACAGGCATTATTTAGCACTTAGAACACAAACCACTTGAACCAAATACTTAGATTTTCAGACAAAGCTTGCATTGAATATAAAGAGAAAAACAGTATATATAAGGACTGCGTTCATGAGACTACTGGGAAAAAAAGTGCTTATGACTGTATACTGACGCTTTCATATTTAAATCTTTCATGCAGTGGACAAATCGCCTAATTTTAACAAACTCTTGTCCTACATTAAGAATTGTGTCGTGTAGTGGAACCCGCCCAGACAGAAAACTAAACATTAGCGTGTCTTGGTATCAAAGCAGTTAGCAGTCAGATATTCTACCAGAAGTGACTGCAGTAGAGGTTAAGTGACAGCACTCACACCATTTCAGGCCAAATAAGACCAATTGAGACAAAGTGGAACTATGTATCGTTCGCACAATTTGATCGTATCTTTAGATGATTCTAGAAGAAGACTTTGGAAGAAATTTGTGATCTTACGGATCATATTGTCAGCAATCAAATCGTTCTTTAACTGCGAATATTAATCCATAGATGTTAGATGAAGATCAATTCATGACGCTAGACGTTATCATATGTTAAAATCCATTTCTAGACAAAATTGCCTTTGTGGTTTTTTTTTCATCAAGTTCGAATTATTCAGTATAATTTCAACATTTGATTTATAATAGATAATTAAGGGGGCGGATAGCACAGCGGTAGTGACCTTGGCGACCACGTGAATGATGTTGCTTCGAAACCTCTCCAGTATCATCAAGCCTTTCATCCCTCCGGGGTAGGGATACTGGTACCGAACCTATCGGAGAAAGGCTTACTCTCCACAATTCAACTGGTCTGGGTATCCCAGGACTCCAGGAGAACGAACGCGCTAAGCATTCAGCGGCATTAGTGATGAAAGGGAAATCCTCATGCGGCGCCGCCACAACCATTTGTTAAAAGTTGGGAAACACTCGTGGATAATAAATGTGAGGAAATAAAACGTGTGAGAGAAGTGTTGGGATTCGCACAGTAGATGTGAAAAACCGGTCATGTAAAACATTATTAACAAATTACTATTACTACTTTTATTTACTGCCTATTCTTTCCATAAAGCAGCACAATGTGTGAAATACAACCATCAGGAAAATGAGACATGAGCGAAGCTCTGGAGTCCGGGAAGCCTTCAAACCCGCGATTACCCTTACCCAGGCTCACGTGCTAGCCGCCTAACCAAGCCACGCCTTTGTTTTGCTTTTCTCTTAACCATGATTTTACGTGCTATCAGCTAGATACTGATAGCAAACAAATAACTGGATATCTATACTGTGACACACCGGGTCTTTTGTTTTGTCTGTAAGGGTAATCGCAGTGTCGAACCCCAACTAAAGCTCAAAGTTTTGCTCACATCTTCGTGTTATTGTAAATCATGGCATAAATGAACAAAATATTGAGAATCCGCAGACAAACCAGTGTTACACCTATGAAACTCCAACACATGAAAAAATCAAACTGAAGAAAAGTTGAAAAAAGAATCGTTGGTATTTCTCACGGCGTTTTTAAGGACTCTAACAAATGCCATCTAATGCTTCATTAGACAATGTTTAAATTTACATTTGCTGCTTACTACCTTCCTTTCCAAGGTAGGGTATTGTGTGAAATGTAATGACAATGATGATGAGATTTTAACTCATTATTTACTGCGTACTCTTTTTAACGGCAGGGTATACATTGTGAAATATAACTCCAATGATGCTGAGATCTTTGCAAAACTCCGGACCGCAGGTGTATGCGGTGGGGAACGAAGGCGCTATTGTCCTTTCCGGGGAGTAACGCGTCCACCACCACACCACGCGGGTCCTTCGTTTCGCCTGTCTCTCAGCTAGCTCTATCGGTCCGCATGCACCTGCGGTCTGGAGAGGAGTCATTGAAATGATGCTGAGATATCTACAAAACTCGTACCCCACGAATTTGCTCCGATCTGGCCGGGGTCCGAGTTCTGCAAATATCTTAGCATCACTGTTGTATTTCACCATGCAGTTGTAAAGAAAACAATGCTCTGGAGCTCTAGAGTTCAGACGATCTAATTTGTTTGCTCGTTTGCGGTATTGAGCTTAAAAGCCGTAGGGTGAAAATGCGAACATTGTTTGCTAGAACAAATATTTCTGTCAAATCAACAGTTTATGCTTTGAAAAGACGGGGATATTTTATCTAACGAATAACGATAACAAAGAGTTCAGATGCCTTTCTGAACGTCATTTGTACTTGAACTCACCCTAAATCGTAGTTCCTATTCAGATCTACACCATCACAGCAGATGTGTTTGACGAGTGCCGTTATGCCGGAGCAGTTAGCTGGTGCTCGGTTCTTTCTCCACTGGCGAATCTGAGCGAAGTTTTCACACTTTCAGACATTCAGTAGGTTGAAGTTGAAAATTTAAACCCATTTCAATTACTTGCTACTATCAACAATAATATGTTAACATCAGAGATGTCATACAAAAAGCGACACATGCACTTTAGTGTCATAGCAGAATTCCTAACACACAATGCTCCATAAGAATCATTTATGATTCATTTCTTTTCTGGCCGTTCATTTTGCTGAACAGAAGCTAGTCATGGTACTTTTTGCAGTCAGTCGATATCTGGCGAAGATACTGTGGACGGCGTTATTCAAAAAAGCTTTATTCCACACTTTGTAAAATGGGAAAGTCTGTTTTTATGAAGAACAGTGGCATGTGGGAGCAATCACAGCTGAAAAATGTAACAGTGACTTTTCTTCTCAATTCATCTACGATTTAGGCGAAAGTACATAGACGATTTTTAGTTCATGTTTAACCCTTGTTAAGTTATTAAGCACACGTCATGTTTTATCCCAACTAAAAAAACAAAAAAAATTGTTTAAGAAATAGGTTCCTTTTGGTAGAAGACGTGATAACCACAATGACGCTGAGATATTTGGCAAACTCCAGGCCGCAGTGTCTGTGGTGGGGAACGAACGTGCTATTACCCTTCCTTCAGCTTTCACTTTCCCTTTATGCTTTCCATATTCAACTCACATATCCTGCTGATGTTAGGTGGGTGTACTCGATCTCACAAGTCATTCCTCATTAATACTTTCATTAATTGCTTCTTCGTTACTTTTTTCTTCGGTTGTGCGTACGAAATAGACAACATAGAGAGTAAACTGACCATTATTAATACATAAAATTCTCATCAAGATCAAAGCCATGCTGTCAGACCAAATTCGTCGATGTAACTGGCTAATTGTCTCATATTATTAATGGAATGTTTCTTGCTCCGTAAACAAAAAGCTTGTCAAATCGACCGGCGTAATGACCTCCCCCAGAAATGTACAATCGTTCCACTGAAAGAATCTTCCATACATGAAAGCTTTTTGAACCGGTATCGGCTCACAGTTCATCGGTTTTACATTCCAAGTTGGGTGTATTGACAGCAATACTGTCACCGAAAAATGTGATTTAGAACCCTGCTTAGAAAATCTAAATAGTTAAACGTAACACATCTATGCGAATGTATTTCGTGTAAAAAGTCGTGTTACTCCACTCCTTTTTGAATTTCCTCCAGATCTCCCCCGATTTCGACTCTTTTTCGTAAAAACACAGATCAATTAACAGTAGCTCCGAAAGGTGTCTCGATCATCTGTGGTCCTTCACTTATTTGTTTTTTTTATTTTGCATAACCAGTGCTCAAATCTACTGTGCGGATCCTTGCTCCTTTTCGTTTTGATTAGTTTCCTCGCATTCATTGCCCCTGAACGCCTTCGAACTTTAAATTTGGGTTCACCTGCTGGATCACGATATGCTTCTTCGTTACGAATGTCGCTCAATGCTGGGCGAATCGATTTCTCTTGATGTCGTACAATTGCCCTGTTTGAGCGCGCCAGCGTGAATTGGAGGAAGCGAGGTAATCCCAGGCAAGCATGTTAGCAATTTTCCAACCCAGGAGGGCTGAGAGGCATTTCGACCCCAGGGCGGGATCGAACCAGCTCCGTGTTCGTCATGAACCGCATCACCACTACCACTGCGCCACCTGCTTCTACTCTAATTTGTAAAATCATTTATAAATCAATAAATGTATACTACTGCCATCATCTCTCGACGTCGTTGTCTCTCTTTCAAATACAGTCTGTCCCCATTAGGAATTTTGCTCCTTGCTTCAAGCTATACAAGATTTCTAATCAAAGTCTTTATATTCAAAAGAGGCATCTCGCCAATCTTCAGTGTGAGCTTATTTAGGACCACTAATATGTTACTCCTATTTTACTTTTCCTTCTCCATTCTTCTAAGTACTCAACCCCTTCATCAAACTCTCTTCTTTACCCTGGTATCTCCTCGCGTTGTTACTACATTACTGGCTCAATTCGTTTTTTCATCCATTTTCTCTCAAAGTTTTTCCTTTCAGTTCCTCTGCCGTCTGTATTGCAAGATTTTACTTTCACTAAAGCAGTTATGTCTTGAAGACTTAGACAAGAAATAACCTTGCACTTCCACAGTGATTCAAGATAGAGACTCACTGTGTCTGATCAGAAACCTGCAGAAATCGGTTAGAGATACATAGGATGGTTCATTTCAGATTTCAAATAGTTTATTAACCCCCTTCTCCCCACATGAAAGCTTCTGGTCTCTCTCTTAACTCGGACGAGTGAGACTCATTTGGTGTTCTGGCAGGGGCGAACTCTATTGCTTCCCATTCGAATAATTCCACTGCTGACTAGGGATTGAGTAACGAGCACGAAAAAGCCAAAAGAATAATCATGATAAGAACAAAGTAATAAAACAACTACAAATCAAAAGACTGCGATGTTATACACTACTGCACCAGTTATCTATCATGAGAAAACTCACTAACGCATTCTTTGACGTGCGTGAAAAGATGAAACCATCCGGATTGAGAACAGGAAATACGTAGATGTCTAGCCAGTTTACATACTTGGTAATCTTATCGTCAATCTGGTAATTTCGAACGAGCTGAAAGTGACAGCTTGTAAGGAGAAAGCGCATCAGCACTGTGAGAAATGAACGTTCACACCAGCACACAAATATGAGTTCTCATAAAATTTTTGCAAAGAACACCAGACGTCTAATCGGAGAGGGCTATGTTGTAAACTGGTACGTAGACTTAACCGCGCTCGGCTACGCAACTGTTATACAATATCCAGAATTTAAGGTATCATTGACAAACTTACTTGATACTTGATACTTTAATGGCCCGTCCTCACTGGTTGTGCAGACTCCAGCAAAATCTCCATTTTTCGTAGATTTGTTGGTTAAGCCATTGTGGTACTTTGGAATCCCGAGATCAGCTCGCCCCACACCTTCACCACCACGGTCAGTCACAGCCCTTGTGGATCAGAGGGAGATCTGTCACCATGCGACTTTAATACCAGGGCCGCGGTGGATCCTGGTAATGGGTTACTCTTAACTAGGCTTCCTGATGGAAACGTCGGACTCCTTCTCAGCTTGGAGACCCTGCCAGGGGATGAAAGTCCGCTGTACATCGTAGTCCGACGCCCAGGAACACCTCCTAGCCACGATGAGGCGGTGAACCGTTGAGGAGGATCGCTAACAAAAGCATCAGCAATATCAGAATCCAATGTGGCAACATTACATTCCTATTGTTTATCTTTTTAGTAGTCATTTTATGCCGTTCAATAGAAAAGACAGCATTAGTTAGGTTTCCATCGCCCGAAATAAATATTATGTTCCACAGTTGTCACGAGGACATAGGAAGTATGGATTGAATGAATTTTAAAGCACTGGTGTCAATTTGCACAATGTCATTAATGACAATAACGTTTGTTGATTGTGATCAATGGTTCCAATCACTAATCACCACCTAACCAATCAATAATTCTCTTTATTGAGTCATCAAGACTTACCACATCAATGAAGTAGATCGCGACATGAAAAGCGGGCCATTCCCGGGCGTGATTGCCACCATCAAGCCACACGGCTGGTTTCGTATGATTGGCCACACGGCCGATCTGAATCGGAGAATCAATCGAGATTCGTTATGCTCGAATATTCGAAATCGAATATTTTCACTTAAGTGGATTTCTGAAAAACTTCAATGCGTTCAAAAAATGTCATAACTGGTCATGTGGGCATCCGAAAATGTCCTTGAAGTACAACTAAGTAAGTAATAGATGTTTAGAACGGCTAGTAGTTAATGTCATTATATTAACCGGCCTTATATGTTAGCCGTAATCGTTTCACACGGATTTAAAAAACTAGGCGCGTGTGGCACAGTGGTCCGAGGCGCCCTGCAACACACACGTGGAATCGATCCTGGCGCACAAGGCCCACCAAGCCTTCCATCCCTCTGGGGTCGGTAAATTGGCACCACACTTGTCTGGAAGGATAGCAGCACTGACTCGATACATCACTAGGCCACCGCGAGTCATTGTAAAGGCCAGATATGCATTCAATCACCTCCAAACGATGCTTAATGAAGTCGAATGCATGGTGCATCCCTTAGAGACTGATTAACGCCGAGAGCTTTATCCTTTATCCTTATTAATGTTAAACAAAATAAACTGAAACCACAACCAAGCAGTCGGCTTGTACTATCAGTTTAGTTAAATAAAAATGCAACAACTCACTCAGAACAATTTCGAATTTCAACCACAAGATTGCTTAGATGTTTGCTCTGATATTTGATAAGTCGTCTATCATATGCGACTGTGAGCGGCTGTTCTTCCTCGGTGGAAGAAAGATGAAAAAAGCGGTGGGTCTTTCGAGAAGCCGTAGATCTTGTAGTTATCGAGCAGATTTTCATCTTTCTGTTTGTGCTGTTGAAGCGTTTGACCTGGTGAGCTGCGTATTAGTGTACTCTTCCAGGCTCTGAAGAAGGCGATTCTGCCGAAACGTCAGCTACGGTTGTGTTGTGTGTTATTCTATGGAAGCAAACGTATGCTGTTTAACAACCTCGGAATTGCTGTGAAAAAGAGAACGACAGTTCTATAATCCAATGCCGACGTTAATAGAAAGTCGATCCTAGGAACTATCACAGAAAGATTTTCATTATTAAAGAATGAGGAAATGAGAAACAAGGTTTTTCTTGGCAAGAAGGTGAGAAGAGAAGACTTGCAAGTTTGAAAAGGCAAATTCTGTAATTTGCTAGTTAGTCATTTGTTTAGATAGAAATATAAATCTAGTAAAGCAAAATTGGCAATCAATACGTATGTTTTTTGTTTGTTCCACCGCGTCCACTGATGGAATGAATAGTTTCACCAGTGGTCATAGTGCTTGGAAATTTTATGCAGTGCACTGAGAGTTCAAGTGTTTTAAGAAGTCGATTAAGGAGAAATTAATAAATAATTAGTTAAATTAAATAAATAAGAATAAAAAAATAAATTGGATAATTAACTAAAGAAATTAAGAATAAAAAGAAATTAATTCGTTTATGGATGATTGCGGTTAGCACCATTAAAGTAAAATAGTGGCCGACAGAATGTCAGAGCAAGAGGGCCGTTTGTGAAGTGGATAACACTTGAGCATCCGAAAGTGGTAATCGCGGGTTCGAAGCGCAACTAACGTCCATAGTTTAGCTCATAATTCAGCATCCTTGTGTGGTTACAGGGGCATATATATGAAGGAATGCCCATCCTATGTCAGAGATCGGATACCTCAGTGTGTTAAAAACTTCACACCTAAACGATTTCAGATTAGCAATCAATAAATATGATTGATGATGGAAGACTTCAGCGGTAAAATGTGAGCCAAATTCTCTTACAAAATTGTTAGAGGAAAGAATAATGAAGATCGATTAGTGGTGACTGCAAATTTACTATGTGAAGGGTGAAACGATTTAAGAGAAAACAAGAAAAAGATTCTGCCATCGCTGGATACCAGTAGGCTTGTTTGACATGAATTCAATTACACAGTCAGTTCATGATTAACGAAGGATCAAACAAATTATAGTCACATGAAGTGAACGCATACTTAAGTATGAACACATTGAATGGACAGATGGTCTATCAAAATTGTCTCCATTTCTGCACCAGCTGTTTATCCTATCTATCACCGAGCGATATGTTGCGTGCACCAGAAAAATCTCAAGTTAACTACCGCTCGATAAAGCTGCCCAGTTTCGGAGCGACAACTGTATGTGAAATGAAGGACAAAACAAAGATAAAGCTTTCGGCATTGAGAAGTCCCTGAAAGATGCATCCGACTTCATCAAGCATCGTTACAGGTGACAGAATGCATATTATGGTCCATACAATGACTCACGGTGCTCGTAGAGCGCGGTGTTTCGAGTAAGTGGTGCTAACCTCCCAGACAGGTCTGCTACCAATTTTCTAATCCCGAAAAAATGGAAACTTTGGTGAGCCTGAGGGACGGGAACACGGGACCGAACCCAAGTGTATTGCAGCAAGTCTCTAAGCACTGCACTACAGGCGTCCCTGTGTGTGAAATACTTTAGTTTAATTGATTCCGGCAAGGCATTCACCAGTTGAAATGGAAAGGCCCCAGAATTAGGTGCCGATTCAAGGCTTCCTTTAAGCTTTTTCTGGCTTACTAGACCTATCTTAGTTAGATATGGGGCGTCTTTTCGGTAAACGACCTCAAACAGCTTCGTTCCGTTCCAGGCCAATTGCCTGCACTTTTTCAGCCGACCCAAACAACGCCCAAATACAATCCTCCTGTCCACGAAAATCCATGCGCGTTAACACATTCTATTACAAAGTCTTGTTGTTAACTTGCCTTGAAAAAGTTTTCAACGTTGAGAAATGAAATACATGTCACCCCATAAATGTTACGTGTAATACAAGGTGACTATGCCACCATAAGCACGATGATTTACAATCTATCGCTATAACCTTGATGTTTTCTCGTTTGAAACAACTGTCTTGAGCTGGTTTGAACGGCGTTGATAGTTGACGAATGAGGGCTATAGATAAGGCGAACATCTTTTAAGAAAAAAATTAGCCTATTACGTTGTTGTATCTCTTTTTATGAAGTATCCTCACTTCTATTACTTTCTATTTATTTGTGACAGAAGGTGAGTGTCGCAGTGGTAGTGATATCGATAATCACTTGAATGGTTTTGGCTTGAACTCGCATCATGCTCAAAAGGCCTCTTATTCCTACAGAGTCGAGAAATTAGTACCAGACTTTTCTGGGAAAAGTTCACTCTGCGATCCAAGTGGGAACACTTTAGTCTGGCTGCCTCAGGTCTCCAGTGAGAATCAACTCAACCAGAATTCAAGGAGAACCATAATGGAAGGGAAATCCATCAACAACAGTTGAATCCACATAAGAAAGTCAGATAACCTTCGTCGATTTTGAATGGAAACAATTCTGGGATGTGCACAGTAGGTGTGAAAAACGGGTTGTATAAAATTAAACAAATAAAATAATTTAACTGTAATTTGAAAGTCGAATAGTCCTTACTAATGGAGAATCGTGCCAAACCCCTCGACAATTTCCATACGATTAATAAATTGGTTAAGCTAGCTTACCAGTGGATTTCCGAGGAGTTAGTGCCAATACGTCATCAGGATACCGTTTTTCGTTGTGAATAGATGGAAAAACTGCTATCTTGGTAGTCGGTTTCTGTACGAAGCCGGCCATTGCCGGATTAAGTTTACTCTTTGCTGAGTGTCTGGAAAAGAGCGCCGAACACCTCAACCGGGTTAGGCTAACCATGGTGATAAACGTTTCCATCGATACCACGATTTATCTATATGTGAACGTAAATTTGGACTGGACCGTGTTGTTACCGGTTGTGTAGAAGAACCCATTTCCTGACAATTTAAGATGGACGAACGCGATTTTAAAAAAGGTCATCCTTATGAATCCGGAACAAAGATTTGCACGCTGTGCTCCTCCTCTTATGGAAGTGCACAATAAATTTAAATGCTTTGCAGAAAAAGAGGTAGCTACGAGCAAAAGTCTTTCTGACCAACACGCAGTCGAATCCAACAAGACAAAGGGGTGGTCTTATTAGTGCAAAATGGAATTTAGCCAGTTTGCAAATAAGACGACAGTTCCTTCAAGAATAGAAAATGGCCCATCCTATTAATGTTAGTACCACCCAGCTGAAGGACAGGAAGCTGACAAAGACAAGTTCATTCTCCTGGCTTCTTGTTGCTTCACGCTCGTTTAGATGTTGATGATCAACATAAGGTCAAATGAAGCAAACTAAATTTTCAAAAAAGCCAGTACCTCGCAAAACAATGCTATTTTTCTACTTGGGTCCTAGGTGCAAGTGCCTTTTGCTTTCGATGGCGAAAGAAAATGATAGACTAAAGCTCACGACCCGATTTACCCACTAAGTGGCACTGTTGGTCTCCTAGCTGGGTGCGGGGCATGAAACCATTTGTTTTCGAAGAGAAGAGAAGACATTGAGTTGATAATCAGTCAATCAACTTTTTAGAAATCCGTAAAAGCGACAAAAGCATGGTTTAAAAGCATTTATATGTATATATTTTAAGAACGAGATGTACAACATTAACCATTTTCAATTCCACTTCGGTAGTATTTATTTTTGAGTTTTTTTTTAAACGAAGTTAGGACAAAGTTGACTTTTTATTTGCTGCCTACTACAATTTTCACGGCAGGGTATGATGTAAGATACAACCACAAAGATGCTAAGATATTTGCAAAACTCCGGATTGGAGGTGTCTGCGGTGGGGAACCAACGCGCTATTACACTTTCCGCGAGTTAACGTGTTAACCACCACACCATTCGGGTCCTTCGTTCCGCTTGTCTCTCGGCTAGTTCTATCGATCACTGCGATCAGCAATCACCCGTCCATATCCCAAAGTTGCAACATATCTATACATGTTTATGCGAACTGGTATTGTTGAACTGATGCGAGGTTGGCATAAGCTGCCGCTCTTGCTGTTGTTGCTGTTGTTCGACAGCTGATAATTCATGATTTTTGAGTTACTCAAACTTAGTACACAACTCATGATCGATTTTTTCTTCTATTAGTGTGCAGTTTCTGTTTCAAATTTTTTCTGTATGTTGCTGCACGTCACACCAGGGTTATTCTTTGAAAGTATCCGTTGAGGAGACCTTAAAAGAAATATTTCATAGATTGATGAGCGCCGGCATTAACGGAATTTTAAAAAAAAACCAAGTGAAAGACATAGAAATTGATTGCAGAGCAGTGGATCTTCTTTTAAGGCCAAAGTCATTAAAAGTGAAAGAAGATTATTTTCGTCAGAAGAATGAAAAGAGTAACTAACAAAGTCTGATGCGAATGGATGGTGAAGAAGGGAAAAGCTAAGAAATGAGAAAGAAAGTATACGTGGCTGGTGGAGACAAAACTCGCAGTGCTAACGAAATATACAATGAAAGAACATTTGCAAAAATTCTGCGTATGGTAAAAAGACCCGAAAGATGGCATAGTTCTTTGGTCATCAAATACTGAACCTTTAGTAGAATTCGAAATTCGATCGTCGATTCACATAACGAATATTTAACACTGGGCTCATAGAGTCCTTTAACTTTTACACAAGCAGAACGGATGTGTTCAACAGTTCATTAGTAAATTGTAAACTTATCAGCACCCAATGGGCGCGTGTGGCACAGTGGTCGGAGGCGCCCTGCAACACACACAAGGAATCGATACCCGCGTCCATGACCCAACAAGCTTTCCATCGCTCCAAAGTCGGCAAATTGGTACCAGACTTGTCTGGGAGGGTAACAGCACTGGCTCGATAGATCGGTAGGCTACCACGAGTCATTGTAAAGGCCAGATATGCATTCAATCACCTCCAAACGATGCTTGATGAGGTCGAATGCATGGCGAATTCCTCAGGGATTGATCAACACCAGCAGCTTTATCCCTTTTTCTATAAGCAGCTAAAAGTATGAACATGGTTGAGTACCTAAATGCGTACAAAGTTTAGAGGCTTTTGATCCATCGTATTTCTTAAAAAAGCATAATTTTCGGAGTCAGTTTCGAATAAGAACTTTTGGGTGGAACAAAATAACATACAAGGAGAAGCCGAACCTTTTACTAAAGAAGTATTCGAAATAAATGTTCTAATTATTTCTTATTGCTTCAGCTACCTGCTCAAGAGCCAGTTTGAGCCACATGATGGAGATTCGATTAATATTGACCAAATTTTCCTAGCCAACCGCTGGTCGGTTTCTTGCTGCGGACTCACCTTAAGCCCGAGCAGAGGTCGACGTTCGTGACTATAACCGATTTGGCGTAGTTTCACAATGTTAGGATTCGCTTGAGCGACGTTCCTTATGTAGTTTTCAAATTCAGGAAAATCATGGTAGCGAGTGAGATCAAAGAATGGCGTCTGGCCACCGGCGACAGTCCCTAGCCGTACGCTGAAATCTCAGAGATAGATGTTCTATGCAGAGATCAGTAAATCGACGTCTATGAAACAAATCGCAATAATTGAGGCCGGTTTTCGCTCATAATTGCTAAAGCATGGACATGTGGTATAGCCTCAATCCGCCGCATCAACTTTTCCTAATTTTGTCGAACCATAGAATGTAAAAGGGGAGAACGTCCACACCTCTAAGCGTCCAGCAAGTGCATTTAGGCTCTGCTGAGCTGAAATCGGAAGGTATTTAACCAAATTTGTGATTGTTAACCTCCTACTCCAGGCGTTATCAGATATTGTTCCCACTTAAAATGGCAGAGAATATGTTGACTCTGTTGGGGCTCTGATTGCTATGGTAGCTAGTTTCAACGAATTTTCTAAAAAAAGATATATGAGATCTGGAAGAATGACATACGTGAAAAATACAGCTAGCAGACGTTGCATGTGAAGCGGTCGCTCCAAAAGTGAGCGCGGTAGACACCCATGGCAGTGGGCGGAGCGTCTCGAACACCTCAACGTGCTGGCGACCATTTACGTAACAGTACCTCGTCGCCAGCATCCTCAGGCTGCCATTAGCTGATAACACTGTGAGTGTGTGTGTGCAACCGTCTCGCTGGCTTTTTTTGAGTTTCAAGCAGGTTTTCTTTGACGGAATCTTTTTGAATGTTAAAAAATATGGCAGAACTGAAAAGGTATCGTCTGGATAAGAATTTGCACCACAGTCGTAGTCCACCACAAAAAGTTCCACACGTTATTAGATTTAAAGCGAGTCTTGAAAATGAAGAGTCGTAACAACCAGTTTTCACTGACGTTCACCGACATGAAAGCGAGCGAGTCCACCCGTTGTGACCACGGCTAAATCGCTTCACAGATAGACCTTTCACTTATCAGCTGATAACAAGATCTCTATTACTAAGACACAGCATGAGAATACTGACTTATTTCCGTCTATTCTAAAAAAAATTAGTCCAAGAAAACTCATGAAATTCGAAAAAAGAACTAAAACAAAGGACGAAATATGTAGTAATGGCGATCGTGACAGTAATACTTCACATTTACAATTTTCAGGATTATAGTATACCGTTGAAGTGCTGTCGTCTCTAAATACTTTTAAACGTTCAGCTACCGGACGGAGAAAAATGACGCTAGCGTTCATCACTGTCGAATAATTTCGGGCCTATCAAATCGTTTTCTATTCGAACCACTCACTTTTATGTGGCTCATGAACTCTACTCACATTTTTTGTTACCACTGCTTTAACTTGTCACGGATCACATAGTAGATCTGATGAACATGAAAATCCAATTTTCGCTACCTTTCTAACATCCTCTCTCTCTCTCTCTAATATCTCTCTCTAATAACATCTCTCTAAAAAGAGGAATCTTTCGATCGGTTTTTCTTTCATGCGCTGATGTATCATATTATATCAGCATCACAAATTCATTTCAACGTCTTCAACGAAAGGCAAGTGAATTGGACATAAGCTTTGAGCATGAATAACGACATTGTTGAGGATATCAGGGCCTAAGTTCTCTAACAGGAACAGCTGTAGCTATAATGATTAAAAAAAACCCTTTGAATATCTTTCACAGTACTTCAAAATTAGAATAAATAACTCTGAGTGTTATAGATTGCTGTCAAGAAGCGCGTTTGACTTGTTTTTAGAGCATAGTGAACTAGAAACTCTCTTCTTCGTTGTGATGTTGAGCCGATCGATTCTGTTTCATGGAAAAAAGCAAGAAAAATAACACGATTCACTGCGAAATAAAGCCATTGCGATGCCGAGATATTGGCAAAACGCATGAACGCGGTCGTTCCTGGTAACGTGTTCGGTCCCCACCGCAGACAACTGCTATCCGGAGTTGTGCAAGCATGTCACCATCACTATGGTTATATTTCGCATTGTGTTCTGCCATTGAAAAGGAATAGGCCATGAATAAAATAGTGACGACATGACCCGTATGGTGTAGTGGTGAAGTGCGCTGCTCCCCGGTAAGGACAACAGCGCGTGTTCGTTCCCCACTGCATACACCTGTGGTCCGGAGTTTTGCAAATATCTCAGCACTTCATACGAGTGACGACATAATTCACTATTCCTTTTGAGTAAATCACATAACACAGCTTCAATAGCGCACAAAAATATTGCTAAAGAACATCAAACAGATCACATTAGAATATGTAATGTGCAAGAAAATTCAAGGCTAACCGTGTTAGGAGGCATAACTCTCCCTGACGGTGCGCGCTCGTTATTAGAATTGGAGCCGAGTTTCTCACCATCTGAACCCATTTCTAAGATAACCTTGCGTAGGGTCGCATATGGTTTACATGAACTTCAGGATAGACTCCGCAAAAAAGCTAGAGATAAAGCGCTGCTGACGGGTGATTGCTGTGGCAAAGATCGATAGAAATAGCTGAGAGACAGGCGAAACAAAGGACCCGCATGGTGTGGTGGTGAACGCGTTACTCCCCGGAAAGGACAATAGCGCGTTCGTTCCTCACCATAGACACCTGCGGTCCAGAGTTTTGCAAATGTCTCAGCAACGTTGTGGTTGTATTTCGCTTAGTACCCTGCCGCGAAATTATAGTAAGCAGAAAATAAAAAGGTATAACATTGTGTTTTTACCATAGTTTTATTTATTCATCGCTACCTTGTTTCCTTGCTGTATCAGTTTAAGAAGTGGGGCGGATAGCACAGTGGTAGTGATGTCGGTCATCTCGAGCATTGTGCTAGTTAGATTCCGCTCTGGGACAACTAAACTTCTCATGACTCCGGGATCAGGGAATTGGTGCCGGATTTGTCCGGGAGAAGTCATTGTCTACAACCCAAGTGGGAACGATCTGGTGCGACTATCTCAGGGCTCCACGGAGAATCGACCCGACCAGCATTCTATGATATTCGAGATGAAATGAAAATCGACAAACAACAGCCGAATCCACGAAGCCACGCGTAAAAGTTGGAAGACCCGAATGGATAATGGATGCGAGGAAATGAATCAGATGTGACAGGTGCTGGGATCCGCACCGCAGACATGAAGACGGTTCATAAAAGATAAAATAAAAAAAATCTGTCTAAGGTGTTTTATTTCGAAGGACTTGCGGCGTAGCGATGTTGTTGAAGGATAGGTTTACTAACGCATTCCGACAAGACGCCGTTTTTCGCCAATGGTCCACTCAAAAAAGAGCAATTTTTCGTCCACTGAGGACTCTCTCCTCTTTTGACAGTAAAAAATCTTTCCTCAATAACGAGATGACTTGAGGGCTTTTAAAGTTGGGCGGATTATAGAAAAGGCTTTGCTCTATCATTCTATGAGTATGACTGATATGTATGCTACTATTTACAGTGCGCTACTATGGTCCATATTGCAAATGCATTGCTGTTGGCATTTGGAAGCGCTCTGCAGCTTACGTTGAGTCTATTTTGGTGTTTTTCATAGTCACACGCTCCATACAGTAACTACAGTGATTAAAGTAACAGTTAAATGACTTTATATTTACTTCTGATTACTTTTTTCAGTGCAAGGTATCATGTGAAATACAAGCAGAACGATACTGAGATATTGACCTATTGGCGCTATCAGCAATCACCCGTCAACGGGATTGACCTGGGAGCACAAATTGGCAAGGAACCCAGTTAAGATGAACCAATGGTATAAATCACTATGTAGCCGATTTTCATTTACTGCCTACTAATTTTTAATAGGAGGGCATTATGTGAAATATAACCAAAATGTTGCTGAGATATTTGCAAAACTCCGGACCGCTGGTGTCTACAGTGAGGACCGAACACGCCATCACCCTTTCTAGGGGCTAACGCGTTCACCACCACACCATGTGGATCCTCCGTTTCTCCTGTCTCTCAGCCGACTCGCTGACCTATTGGCACTATCAGCAATAACCCGCCAAAAGTACTAAGGTATTTGTAAAACTCGGACCTCAGTCCCGATTCGAACCAGCGATTACTCTTTCCAGTTATGAATTCGTCGTTTTCTCTCTTAGCAATCGCGAGGTTGTTAAACAGCATACGCTTACTTCCATACAATAACACACATACAACACAATCGTAGCTGACGTTTCGGCAGAATCGCCTTCTTCAGAGCCTGGAAGAGTACACTAATATGCAACTTACTAGCTCAAACACTTCAACACCACAAACAGAAAGATGAAAATCTGAACGACAATTACGAGATATACGGCTTCTCGAAAAAACCTACCGCGTTTTTCATCTTTCTTCCATCGAGGAAGAACAACCGCTCAGAGTCGCATATGGTTGACCACTGCACCTATCCACATCAACGATCGATACGAAGGTAAGGGGCGAGATCACGCGTGATCTCGGGACATTCCTCCCTGATATTCATTGTAGGGTTTTTGGCATTTATCCTAAAGACCTCGAGGGGTTTGCGCGTTGGTGTTTTAGGATCCCGTGCGAGAATAGTTGCTCTTATGTCAAAATCGTCTTCGCTATGCTTTCATATCTCATGTGTTCCTAGTGGCGTGCCTTGTCTTGCTTTTCGTTTGCCATCTAGGTGCTCTTTTATGCGGATACATAGAGGTCTACCCGTTTCGCGAATATATTCTTCTCCGCAATTATCACAAGAGACCAGGTATATCGTACCTGAACTCATGCAATCACCGTCCCTGCCGTAAGGGCAAATTACGCAATTTTTTGTTCCACATAGACGGTCATACAGGCGGTTACGAACAAACTGACGACGAAGAGTATCGGGTAGTATTTCAACTATCGCCACCGATCCCTCTAGACCTGCCCTTCTTAAGCATCGCTTTATCGCTGCACCTATCTCATCGCTAATGAAGGGCAAGATAAACGGGATTTTATTTCGGCTAAACCGTTCGTTTTGGGGCGTTGCTTTCCTCCTAACTTATCTCGTGGGGTTACAATTTCGTAGCCATTGGAGATGGCTATTTGCCGAGCCAGGTAGCGCGATTCTTCCTTTAGTTCCCTACTTGTGGACACAGAGGTGGCTGTTCGAAACATGTTTCTCACAAGCGCCCTCTTTGTATGAGAAGGGTGGGAAGAAGGGGAATGAACCAGGATGCTTTTGTTAGTTGGTTTTCGGTACCACTTTGTCGTATAACCGTCACTTGATAAGTTAATTTGAACGTTTAGAAACGGGAGCCAGTCGTCTTTCGGTTTCTCCCGGGTGAACTTGGTGTACTCTGACTGCTCGTTCAA